GTGTAGTGCATTCAGAAGTACTCTTGACACTTGCTTTAGTCTGTATTTTGTCCTGTCCGTTACAGGCATGATTTTATGTTGTAATGTTAGGCGGTGACAGCATCCAGTGACACTTTTTAACCCATGTGAATGGATTTTCTCTTTAGGCAAATGTTTTAATTTCTTAAAGGTAATAATAATCTTGACAAATAGGTGTATTAACACTTTAAATTATCTGTCAAGCTTCTAAGTGTAAATAAATGGAAACTGACATTTCCATTTCCAAGTGGACTTTCATGAATTATTCAGTATGTTGTTTCTCTCTATACACACACACATATGTGCTATTGGTTATTAGAAACAGGATGCAGTTGGTTACTTAGAAAGTCTGAAAGTCCATTTTTAGACAGAAGTCCAGAGCATAAATAGACAAGACCATATAAAGTATGAGAACTGATGTTTACTGCAGTTTCTGAAAGCACACCATCTATTGATATTCTGGATTGTCTTCATTCATGGCAGTCACTCTGGTGTAGCAGAGTTTATGAAAATCTGAGTATTGATAGGGATCACATCATAATCATGATGCTTCCTGCAAAGCACTCTTGCATGGGATTGGTGTACAGGTGGAAGTGCCACCTATGCTTCCTGTGTTGTTATTCTGAATCGGTGTTTCTTCGTATCTTAACATTTCTTGTAGCTGAACTACCCTGGTTTTGCCTGCATTCTCTTTTTAGGCACTGTGAGGAATAGTTTGAGGACATATATTTAGGCTCATCCTAGTATCTGACCTGATGAGTTGCTTTTTTCTTTTGAAATATGCTGGACCTTCCAGGATGTGTTGCACTCTAGCCTTTGAAGTGGAGACTGTCACGAATACATGTTGGAGAACCTGGAGAAGGTCAACGTTTTCATTGTGGCATATGAGGGGGGAGGAGGCCATGGGAAAGACAAGCATAATATCTATTAATTGCCCCTTCTTACGCTTTTTTTCAGATACAAGGTGTGTGCCAGATGCAGTTGCTGCATTTTTGTCACCTCTCTGAAACACCATTGTGTCACGAAAAGAATATATTAAATACGACTGCCTAGCTGTTAATTTTTATCCTTTGAATTTTGCAGATAAATCCTTAGGAGACCGCAGGTTGTCAATATTTAAATTATAAGCAGCACAAAATAAATTTAGTTTCAGAATTTGTGGCTTGTGTGACAGTATCAAAATACTTTACAAAACCTCTCAGGCCAAGCCTTTCTAACTTAAAGTGCCTTCAGCAGAATCTCAGTATTGGCAAGTAGTAGCTTTATCTCTAGAACTATGAAACACCTTTGCAGTGAAAACAATTACCTACTTTCTGTGTGAAATAAAGGCCTTTATTCTTCCTTAATTGCACAGATAAATAGATGGATTCCATATTTTTACTTGAAGGCAAATGTATTAAGTTGGACATTGAATCTTAAACGCACAGATTTTGGCGTAATCTTCCCGTTTCTGTATCAAAAGGCTATGTTTGTCAGGGACATAGAAGCTGTGGTTTGATATTGTGACAGTGGCGAGGGTATCATACGGTATTACATAGTACCTGTTTTGAAAGCCTCTCAAATTCCATTTGCAAGTGAAAAGGTTAAGTCATAGATAGCCTAGAGTACAGCTGTGTTGCTTTCTGAATGTTATACTTCTTTAAGCAGACTTTGCTGTTTGTATCTTCCTGATAGTCTGCGAGCTTTTTGCCATAATTCAGTCTAACAATTATGACATTCACCACTCTGTGATCCGTACATGCAGTAGGGCTTGAATTGCAGGTGATCCTAATTTTTAGAGCTCTGTATTTCCTGACACTCCAGGGCCAAACCAGTTGGATTATTTAATAAATACAGATTTCAGAAGCTAACTCTAGCCAGAGGATTAGATGGTTTTTACAGGAGTTCAGTGTCTTAATTTTTCTCCTGAAACTGGTTTGTCTGGTTTTCTACTTGATCTTTGCACAGTACTAGTGGCAATGCGACTTCGCTTCTCCTAGGCGATGCTTTCTAGTTCTGTATATCCAGGTGAGGACCAGTTTAAGTCCTTGTCCACTTGTTTCCCACCATTGTGCCTAAGTTCTTGAACCATATTTTAATTTGCAGTAATGTTTTGGTAGAAACAAAAGTAAGGCCTCACTGTTTGTCTGTACATTGCTTTAGGTAAGAGATGAATTTTTTGTCAAATGATATGGGCGTTTGAGTTTGATGTTTGGTGGTGGTTTTTTTTTTCCCCTCAGTCTTTAAATTTATGCAGTTACTGTTCTTTCAATCTTCTTGATTTGAGAGTCAGTCCAGGTGTGAACTGAAGAGATCCTTGTTTGGGGATACTGTTAATTAACGTTGTTTAAGAATGTAACCAGTGTTGCTCAGAATATGTCCTATATTCACTTTCTTAAACAGTATTCCATATTTCAGACATCCTGTAATGCCAAGTCAAATGCTTGACATCGAAGAATTTCATTGAGTAGACCTGTAATCCAGTTTTCCATTAAAAACATTTGTGAGAAGCTTATGCTAATGTTCTAGTTCATAGGGTCTCATCAATATTGTTTATAATCAAAACAAATGTACCAGTTGAGGTGTAGCCCTCGTGTTGCTTTGTGTAAATAATACCTGCAGTTAGCAAGATCTGCTTCCAAAAAATATTTGCCTTGTAGGTAAGTGGATGGAAGAGCTTTTCTCACCATGTCTGCCCTATGTCTTAATGCAGTTAGACTCAGTAATGACAGTTAGACACAGTGCTGTCAGATGAGCGATAGGTTAGGACCCTGGTCATGCTGACTTTGTAACAGAAATGTGATCTTGCTAGTAGAGTTTCAGTAGTAGCAAAGATACTCAGTCGTCTTCAGAGTTCAGTATCATGTCAGTTAGGACAGAAGACGCTGGAAGCTTCAGAAGGCCCAGTCTCTACAAGTATTTTTTGCTGCTGTTGATGTTGGTAGCGCTACATCAGCAAAACAGCATTGCAGATTTTGCAGTGGGAAAAAGCTAGTAGCGATGCAGTTGTTGTGGCTGTACTTGCTTTAGAGCGGTGTGATATTTGTTCGCTTACTGTGTGCTTAGATACATGAAAAGTTGTAGTGGTAGGGCTAATGTCAAAGTGCTGAATTACAAAAAATATTCCAAAGCTAGTAGCTCCTTTTAGATAGCTGGAGCTTTCCTTTTAGATAGCGGGAGCTTTGCCTGTGACTGGCCTTTCATGCAAAGGGGGGCGAGAAAAGTATAAAATGAAAAATGTAGTGCTGTCTAGTGGGCGTCTCGCGTTGATTCAAGTTCTCTTAAGGTTTATTTCTACTGTTTGCAGGCAAGAGGGGAAAAGAACAATATAAGGACTTGTTTCACATGGCATGTAAAGGAAAAGGACGCCTCTTTCTAGTGACTGAGTGAAATTAAGTTAATGAAGGTTCTTATGTGTCTGTTGATCCTATAATTCTACTTCAGCAGATCTGTTATTCTCTTTCTTACTAGGTTTTCAAACTCACAGTATGTTGCACTAAGAAAGAAACAATTTCTATATGGATGCAAATTAGAAACAGTACCCTTAAGTACCTGGGGAAGTAGGTGGTGTTAGAAGCTAGTTTTAAAAAGCAGGCATATAAAGATTACATCAGTGGTTATGGGGGTGGCCAGCGGTGATCCATGATGCACAATAGGTACGTCTGTTGTGACTGTGAGGACCTGTGCTTTGGCTGGCGTGCCAGCCGAGCAGTATTGGTAGTTGCAGGGAGGAGCATCCTCAGGCTTCTGGGAGCTGCAGACACAGTTTGGAACATTTTAAAATTCTTCAGTGATTGACTTCGTGTCTCGCTAAAAAAGTCTGGATCTGTCAGAGTCAGACTCTTCAGTCTGAGTTTTGCAGGAGAGTGGCTCTGTAAGGTTAGACTGGATGAGCTAGCCTGTACTCTTGCATACGTGAAGACGTAATGCAGAAACATGTATAGTCTCTGCAGATGTGTTTCTTGGGGTCTTTGAAAGTAAAACTGAGAAAGTAAATATAGGACATATGCTACTAAAACAAGAACGGGGAGTGTGGAAAGAGAGGTGTAGGAGTGAGCTTCTCTGTAAATGTTCAGGTGCAACATACGGTGTTATATACAACATACAAACATAGTTGCACAGTTCTGTCATTTCTTAGGTAACTGATACCTCAAATCTATTACATCTGCCTCTGTCCTTGTTCTTAACTTTCCCTTTGTGCTTGCTGTTTTCTGGGCTGCACTTCTGGTTCTTTGTTTTGGAGTTGGGATGTCTTTATGTGACCCTACTTATAATTTACATAGTGCAACCTCCCTTGTTTTAAAAGGCCATGGACCAGAGCATTCTTCAAAAAAATTACTGGATATTGCTGGTTATTGAACAGTGCAGCTGATCTGCCTCTTGTCTGTTGTTCTCTTCCTGTCTTTCCCCAGTTTGTATTAGAGAAATAGTATTGGAGAAAGTGAGATTCCAAGTAAAAATGGAGTAAAGTATCCTCTGCCTCCATTAAAGTTCTGATGCTTTACTTATTTATTTACTGTTCCCTGTAACTGGGATCTCTAAACTGATGTTACTTGTGAATGCGGGTGTTCATTGCTTAAGGATACAATTTTTTTGCTTTCAGAAAAACTACTACTTACTAAGATTGTATATATGGCTCTGCCTATAAGCAGGAAATAAAGTTTAAAGATGTTATTTGTAGGAGAATATACAGTGAAACTCAATTCTTTGGTGGTAGGAGGCATTTTTTTTGAGCTTGGGGAAAAAGGCGTTCTTGAATTAAAGTCTTCAGATATTTGTCTTATGGCTGTATGTATGTATGTGCACAGCATGACCTGAACAGAGTTGTGTAAAAAAAATTAAGAGCTGCCATTCCTGAAATAAATGCTATCATTCCCTCCTAAATACATTCTAATGATAACCCTTTCAAATAGGACTTCACATGATGCTCGTATGGAAATAATGCAACTCCGTGCAGTATTTATTTGAAGGTATAGGAACAACAGTTTAATTTCTCTTTTCAGTATGATGCTGTTCCAATCCAGTCTAGTGTGGTGTTATGCTCCTGTTCATCCCCATCAATGGTGAGGAACCAAGCAGATTCCAGCACTCCATCTGTCATTTCCACCTGTGGCAGCAGACAGGGTTCTAAGATGGAGGGCACTGCAGCTGAATCGAGATCCAGTTCAAATTCCTTGCAGCAACATACGGGACAGCAGCCTCCACAGCCTCGAAAGAAACGACCTGATGACTTCAAATTTGGGAAAATTCTGGGTGAAGGATCTTTTTCAACGGTAACTTTACTTTTTTATAAGAAGTGCCAAATATCTTTTTTGAAGATGAGCTTTAATACATGTTCCTCAAAAAGCTTTTCTCTTTAAAAATGATCTGCTTCCCTGAAACTTTATTCCTTGCTTCTACTAATTGGAAATCTTCCTTCCCTTGCTTTAAAACATTTTCCTAGAAAGCTGTAAATAGTTGAAAGCTCTGTCTCATTTCCTACTTTTGAACTTTTAGGTAAAATTCAATCTCTCAATATTTGCCACTTATGTTAAGGAAAAGTACTGTGACAGCTAGATTTTTATAAATATGCTTCAGTGCAGTTGCTTTTTTCCCCCTTTAAGGAGCTTTGGCAATTTACTGTGGCTTATGCTACAGTCTTCACAATTCTTCTGGGGGGGGGGGTGGGGGGGGTGGGGAAGAAGAGCAAATCTGTTTACCCAGCTAGATGTGCAAGTCGTCTAGAAAAAAGAAAGTCGTTGTGCCAAACTGAATGTCTGCAGGTGTCTTGCTGAAGCCAGCATAATATGAAATATGCTTAAATATTTTGCTGCTTGCAGTTGTGATAGCTTATTTTGGACAATCAATGTCCTAAATACCTACTGACAGATCAAAATCCACATTAGTGTATGTCTTTAATGAATGGTTACAATAATTTTCTTTCCTCTGGCAACAGGTTGTCTTGGCTCGAGAATTGTCAAGTTCTAGGGAATATGCCAGTAAGTATTGTCTCCTTCAACATAAACTGTTTGCAAATACAGTAGCAAAGTAGTGCTGTTAAAAGACACCTGTTCAAAGGACAGAATGAGTGGGTTTATGATCGTTTTATCTAACAAAAAGAATCAATCAGCCAAGCCACGTGGATGACTTGGGTGGCTCTATGGGGCTGCAGCTCCTGACTGCACTCTGTCTTCTTTTCATTAAGTTAAAATTCTAGAGAAACGTCATATCATAAAAGAAAACAAGGTGCCATATGTGACACGGGAGAGAGATGTAATGTCCCGCCTGGATCACCCTTTTTTTGTGAAACTCTACTTCACCTTTCAGGACGATGAAAAGCTGTGTATCCTTTGGATTTTCAAACTTGCTGTGATGCTTTCTTAACAGAAACAATCTCCATTTTGGGTTTCTTTGAAATTATGAAAATAACTCCAGGTCTTTAAATTATCCTCATGTTTATGATACCAGTTTTGCAGTCGTGCTTTTAATAGAAGTTAAGCCAAATGGTGGAGTGTGCCCCCTCAAAGAGCAGAGTCAGCGACTTGCAGGCCAGGGGAGATGTCTACGCTTTTTATTGTTTTATTCGAGTCTGTTGCTGTGGTCAGTAATTCGTGTTTTTCACAGAGGCTGCTATCAGTTTTAATAGGCCCTGTATCTGTGCATACACATATCCGTGCACTAACAGAACCTGCGCTGTCTTTTGTAATGCAAACTTTAAAAGCTCTGGAACTTTACAGATGATGGGGCAGTTTTAAACTTGGGTTGAATGTTTGTTATGACTGTAAATAGCTCTCTTTAAGGGCAATTATATACACAGTTTAAATGAATTATTAGGTCACTGGCTGGAAAACTACAGAATTTACCATTTACACAGTAGTCTTTGCCATGATAAGAACCTGGGACATGGGTCCTAGGTTGTTAATATATTCAGGAAATTGTTTTGAGTTGCTGCCATTTAAAATTTCAAATGAACTGACTTCAATTCTTTTCCCATTGATTGTATATGTTTAGTATTGTTCTTGTCTCTGAAATGAGGTGTGAAGACTTTTTTATTTTGGATGGTTTATTGATAGACCTTAACTAACTCACATTCAGATTTTGGGCTTAGCTATGCCAAAAATGGAGAGCTGCTAAAGTATATACGCAAAATTGGCTCATTTGACGAGACCTGCACCAGGTTCTATACTGCTGAAATTGTATCAGCTCTGGAGTATTTGCATGGGAAAGGAATAATTCACAGGTAATCACAAAGCTGAAACCAGTGTGCGTTTGATAATGCACAAGGTGTGTTTTCTGGAAGTGTTCTTTATGAAGTCTAAAGCAAATACAGATTTGGTGGAAAGTTAATGAGAGAATAATAGCATTTCGTTAACATTAGCACTGTTGGTAACATTGGGACCTAAACACAGACAACTTTCAGAGGAGAGATAATCTCTGTTACTTGACCAACTATTCTAGTGGGGAAAAAGTAAGAATTAACATTACCAGAAGTTTGTCTTCTTCAAGATTGATCAGTTGGTGTAAAGCAGAAGATGACTTTTTGTTAAATACGTTTCTTCTTTCTGGGGTGTTATGTACCAGAAGTAACTAGAATTCTGCTGGTGTGAGTCAGTGTGCAGTGTGTCATCAAGAAAAGTAAAATGAATGTATGTCAGTGAGCAATTTCCACAAAGCTGAAGCAGTAACTGGGCAACCTTTGCAGTTGTTCTTGATGTAATTACATTGTTTGGATAAGTGTGCTTTGTAATTCGTGTTTGTTAAACTTCTTAAAGCTGTAAATGTGAGAAATTTGAACTGCAGAACTTCTTTTTGGGTAAGAATTCTTTTGCATCTGTAGGATCCCAAGGAGTTGTTAAGGGAACAGCAGATGCTAATTGGCAAAAAGATGGCAAATTATAATTCTGATAGTAGTATTACTTCTTTCAGTTACATTTAAAAGGACAAAGTATTTTCCTAATACTTTCCTGTGAAATAATTTGGAATAAAAGCTAAGGGGGCTGGATGTGGAGAATACCAAAAGCATAGAATTTTTTTTTTCAGGGTTAAAAAAGGTTCCAGAATTCCCAGTTTCACTGATTCTGTAGCCCACGTGTTAGGCTGGAGAATGCTAATAAAATTGCTATAGCATGATTGTCAGTATTGCTAAGCCTATACTGGAGATCCTGTATTATGAAAGAGCTTCAAGTCTTTCTCAAAAAAACCCCAAAAAACAAAACCCACCTTAGTGAATGGGCTTTTCGCAATCTGTCAGCAGTTTGCATGTCGACAGCTCCAAGTCAGGTGAAAGTTGACACAACAGTATTTATAGAATACCTGCATCGTTTATGGTAGCATTATGTACATAAGTCACTGCACAGATTTGCAACTTTAATGTGTGTGCTCTTTAAATATAAGAATTTGCCTTTTTCAGGGACCTCAAGCCGGAGAACATCTTGCTAAATGAAGATATGCACATTCAAATAACAGACTTTGGAACAGCAAAAGTATTATCTGCAGATAGCAGACAAGGTATGCCATTATTTACTTCATAGTGTGACATGGACAGGTATAGCAAGTGTTACTTTGAAAGTGTACATATGTACCAGATTGTAACCCTCAAATACCATTACCTCTTACATAACAAAATTACTGAGAGATCTTGAAACAGTTTTGACTGTCACTGCTTAGATTATGTCAGAAGAGGTAGTATTTGGTGTAGTGGTATAGCCAGCTAGATCACCAAATATAGTGGGAAGTTGAACTACTTCAAATTGCTTTTCATTTGCAAGACAAGCGCACAAGCAGGTACTGTGGCTTAGCTGAAACAGTTCTTTGCTTATGTATTTAAGCTCAGTGGCTGATTATCAGAGTTGCTCAGATGTGAAGGTTATAGAATTCTCGTGTCACTAGTTGCTTAGTATTAACCTGTGAATCAATGATGCTGCATACAGTGCCTGGTAAAAAGCACCAGACTGAACTGAATTTGATGAGCTTCATTTTTACTTTAATTGAGTAAGGTTGTATTGATAGATTTTATACGTAGTGAAGTGCCCAAATGCCTAGCTTCTTGAACTAAATAGTTCAAGATCTCTATCACTGAGATTGATTTGGCTCTTCCATTTTGTGAGTGGGTAGAGAAATGAAATACCTGTGAGTTCTTTGTAGTATTACATAACTTGCAATAGATTGCCTTACTTTTGTGGTTTGATTAGTTGTTGTGGGGTTTTGTTTGGTTCGTTTTGTTTGGTGGGGTTTCTTTTGTTTTAATTGGGTGGGAAAGAGGGAGGTTGGCTTCTCTGTAAGTATGTGTTGGCTTATTTCTTTCCATTTTCTTACCAGCACGGGCAAACTCATTTGTAGGGACAGCACAGTATGTTTCTCCAGAACTGCTGACAGAGAAATCTGCTTGCAAAAGGTGAGGACTATTGTATTTCAGAGCTTCACTGACTGCCAGGATACTGTCAAATGGGGAAGGGATACATTAAGCAAACTGAGTATTTCAAAGAAACAAGGTGCTCAATATAAATTTTTGTTAAGAGTTTGAAATATTTTTTTCTGCACAAGTATTGCTGCTTGTCCGAGTGCAGGTTTCCTCAGTTCATCTCCCTTCTGGAGTTACAGACAGGATCAGGTGCCGTCAGGAGACGGTGGTGTGTAATGTGCAGTTTTCTCTTACCCATAAATAAATCAGAAAAACTTCTTCTGTGATCCAAATACTATACCTGGTTTAATTGTGTTTTATATAAGCTTGCTCTAAGATGGTAATCCTTGCTGAAAAAGCAACAGAATGTTAGATTCTGTCAGTTAGGGAAAAGGCTACAGCTTGCTTTGACTTGTATTTAGATCAGCTAGCAGTTATCTCTGCTAAACTCTGCTTGGGAGTTGCAGTGGTTTAAAGTTCATCTTTGTGCCTCGTATGCATGATACCTGTAAGGAATTTCTTATTTAAACTTGTTCATGATGGTAACTTACAGACTGTTGTATATTTATTTTATTACAATGATGGAAGAATAATCATAGCAATCAGTGACAAACCACAGGGGAAAAGATCTCTTATATGAGTAACTATAACGATTTGTGCTACCGTTTCTTGAAATGATAGAAATACGATCAGACTTTCCACTTTGGCTTCTAGTAAGGATGTTTTGGGTGATGAAAAGACTTCATCAGGCTATCATCTCCTTAAAAAAGTTACATAATGCTTCATCTTTACAGAAGACTCTTAATTTGAGAAGGTTTGAGTCTTTATTAGCATTTTATTCTTCTGTTTCTAAGCTTTAAACCAATCTATGCATGGTTTTCCTTAAGGTAAAATGTTAAAAATACTCTTTCAGACCAACACACAAAAACGTGAGTCCTTCCCTCACCCATGTACCATATAGCCTGCCTTTTTGTATATTAAGAAAAGCTTTACATTAAAAAGTTTTAATATGACACTCCAACCCCCCAGCATTTTGAAGAAAGGATTTCAGTCCTGAAGGAGCATATATTGCACTGTTGGATGCATGTTTGAATTGTCACAGTGGATAATAAGTATTCTTTTCAGTCTCATTACATACCTATTGAGTATTTTGACTAAGCACTCAGTGTTTTTGTAGCGGTGCTTGTAGACAGTTGTTGTGGGATGGTTACAGTATACTTGCTTTTAGACTTTTGTTGCTAGTCTACTCCTCTGTCAAGGGATGAAGTGAAAGCAGCGTGGAGATGACGGCAGTTTGTCTCATGTGCTTTTGCCATGCTCTAACCAGCAGAAGCGGAAGAATTTTTTTTTAATTGTAGTTTAAAGACTTCCTGTAGGAAAGCATAATCTGTGTTTTTTCCTCTCATTTGAAGCTCTGACCTCTGGGCTCTGGGATGTATAATATATCAGCTTGTAGCTGGATTGCCTCCATTTAGAGCTGGGTAAGAGATTTAAACTATTTCTTTACATGTGGATCATAAATACATTGACTTGGGTTTGGTTTTTACCTTGCTACCTGTTCTGAAGTACAACTTCTCCCAGGGCAGTGTGGGTGTTAATGTCATGCCTGCTTTTATTTGCCCTTTCTGATGTCATGAAGATGTTTATACAGCTGTAACTAGAGTTCCTGAGAGAAATTCCTTAGTTTATCCTAGTGTTTCCATGTAATTTATACCATAAAGGTAACTATGTCTACATGAAGAAGGTATGGAGCACCTCTGCATTGAGCCCTTTGAACTTTTCTTGTTATTATTCAAGTATCTGGTGTTTACAGGATCATAGGTGCTTGGAAGACTGTACTCCTTTACCCTAGACAGATTTGTGGGAATGTGACTTAAGCTGTAGATCTCCTGTTTAATATTTGTCCAGGTTATGCACTGTTAAGGTGAAAGAAACATGGAGAACTAATAACAAGAACTAATATTTTTCTCTTTCGCAGAAATGAGTATCTTATATTCCAGAAGATAATAAAGTTGGAATATGACTTTCCAGAAAAATTTTTTCCCAAGGCAAAAGACCTTGTTGAAAAGCTATTGGTAAATATTTGCTGCTGTTAAATGATTTGTTTACATTGGAATGTAATCAGCTTATGTAGTTCTTTTTTCCTAAAGTTTTATGCACTCTGTTGCAAACCCTGTAATAAGAACGAGTGTGGGCATTGTTGAGTGCATAGGTGAGTGTCTGGAAATCGGCATCCGTTGGTAAACAGTACTTAATTATTTTGAATCTGAGTTCTAAAGCGTGGATAAGGAATGCCTCTCAGTGAAATGCAAGTAAATGGTTCTAAATACCTAAATAACACACAGAAGTTAAAATTCAAATACTTAGATAGTACTCAGGTTAATTGTTGAGTTGTATAATGAATTTTCTGTACATTACAGGGAGATATATTCATTACAATGTACACCTACTTACCTTGCAATTTATTAGGCACTTTCCTTGCACTTAATGCATGTCTCAGTAGTATGAGCCAAAGAATTACTCTGCATTTGACAGGTATTTGACAGGTAGGAATAAAAAAATAGTTCTATCTCGTTAGTGAGATATAACCATAACGCTGAAATGAATATGCAGAGAACATTTTGGGTGGTATAAGCTTTTTGAAGTTCAGTAGTCTAGTGTATTGGCATGGTGCAGGAGGAAACTCTTACGTCTCTGGATGATAATCAGTGCAACCATTGTAAAGGATCTAGCAGCATGTTCCTCTCTTCAGGCCAGCTTTATAACTGAGACCGTGCATGCTACAGGATAAGGTCCAGGTTGTGTCAACATGCTGAGAAACGTGCAGTTTCAGAGTGCTTGAGAGGCTGGTGTTTGGCATCAACCATAGCTCCCATAGCTGCTTGCATCACGGGAATGTGGTGCTGGGCTATGCTTAAATGAGCTGTGCCCCATCAGGACTTTATGAAGAAACAAAGCCCAAAAATTCTGTGGACTCAAAGAGGTGCTCCTTTCTTTAGATCTGTGAACTGGTCTAATACAAAATGTTACTACAAGGCATACTGAAAAATAACTTCTTGTACTGTAAGCAGTCTCCTCATATTCTAGTGATGTATGTTTATGACCAACTGGTTTTAAGTTTTTGCACGCTGCTGTGCAAATGTAAATGGTGCTCGCCCCTTCCTTGTCATTATTTTAACTTAAGTGTAATTTGCTCAGGTTCTAGACGCCACCAACAGATTAGGTTGCGAAGAAATGGGAGGATATGGACCTCTTAAGGCTCATCCCTTCTTTGAATCTATTGTGTGGGAGAACCTGCATCTTCAGACCCCCCCAAAACTTACAGCGTATTTACCTGCTATGTCAGAGGATGATGAAGACTGTTACGGAAATGTATGTTCGCCTATTACTATTTTCAGCTCTGATGCTGCCTGAGACTTTAAGTAAAGCATAATCATTGCATTCTAAGAATTTTATTGAAACTACTTATATTTTAATGAAAACTCAGTTATTAATAATATAAAATTGATGGTTACAGTGGTTTGGGATTCCCCCCCCCCCCGATGAAGTTAGTGTTTGAAAAAATTACTGCTTGGCTTGCTCTTGACCAAGCATACTTTTTCTGGATAAGTTAATCTTGTTCATCTGTAGAGAGCAGGCTGTCTTTTTGTCGATGAAAAACAGAAGCATGCTTAAATTACAAGGTGCAGTTTAGTGCAAAATAAGCTGTTTAATCAAAGAAATTCCTTTACTTCATTTTGTTTCCTCCTTTAGTATGACAATCTCCTGAGTCAGTTTGGTTGCATGCAAGTTTCTGGTTCTGCCTCTTCCCATTCACTGTCTGTCCCAGAGACAAGTACACCACAGACGTCAGGAGGAAATATTGAGCAGTACATTCATGATCTTGACAACAATTCCTTTGAGCTGGACTTACAGTTTTCTGAAGATGAAAAGAGGTTACTTCTAGCAAAACAAGCTGGTGGAAATCCTTGGTAAGATCTTTGAAGACGAGTCATCTGTTACTTGCACAGTAGTAAGGAATCCAGAAAAAAATAACTTCGTTTGTCCATCTTAATGCCTTCAAGCAAACGATTAGCAATTATATTTTTATTTTTAAAGCAACAGCAGCAAAAACCTGATGTTATGTTTCTAAAATTTACAAGGTCTAGAAGGTGTCAAGTATGTTTATAGGATAGGCAGAAATGGTGCTATACTAGAAAAGGCTTCCCTCTACAGAGGCCTAGAACTAGAAAAGGTCCTTCCTTCTTAACATTGCCATAAGTGATTTATTTTTAGTGATAATATTCTGTCAATACCTAAGCAAAATACCTCCAAATCATGTAATTATTAGTGTTTCTCTTCACTCTTGAGAGGAGCTTCTCATTTGTAATTTCCCCCACCCACCCCACATCAGAGTTTAGAAAAAAAACTCTTTGGGTTGGAATGAGGAAGAGTCCAAAACTCACCTAGTAAAGTTGTTCAGGACTCCTTGCTGGAAAAGGAGACCGTAGGGAGTGACATGGAAAATTGCTTGATAATAATAGTAATAATAAAAGCTGCTTCTGTGGAAGAATTATTTCTGGAGTAATAGGTTATTTCCTTTTCCTCTTTTTTTTTTTTTTTTTTTTTTTAGGCATCAGTTTGTAGAAAATAATTTAATCCTAAAAATGGGTCCAGTGGACAAAAGAAAGGTAAGGGCTTCCCTTAATTACCTGTAACAAGATTCAGCTGTTGTGTATTTGCACAGTTGCACATAGATAAGGAACAGGTTTCAGAGCTTCCTTGTTTAACTTATTTGTAAGTATCTGATCGCTTTGTTTTGTGTTTTAAATCTAGGACTGTGAATAGATTGTTTTTTCTTGATTTAGTGGTGTGCTCTTGAGCTTTGGAAAAGGCTAAAAGTGTGCTATAGATACTTTCATTTTCAGACTGTAGTGAAGATTTTGTCCTCCCTTCCCAGTCTGATACATTCCATAAACACTTTGTATTGATATGTATCTGCGTGTGGATCAAGCTACAAAGATTAGGAAATAAAAGACAAGGCCATATTGACCTTAACTGTGGTATTTTTTTCTGGATATGACCAGTACCTGTATCCTGAGAGAAGCAGAGGTGATGTTAGGAAAACTTTTAAGTATTAACATGGTATAGATGAACAGCTATAGTCTGCATCAGCTTTACAGGATTGTAGCCTGTCTTTCATCTAAATTACTACCTGCCTATTCCTAATTTTCTCCACAAAATCGTGAGCATCAATTTCTGTGCTGGAATCTTTGACAAGTAGATTTTGCTTCACTCTGCACAGCTAGTTGTTTTATGTTAGAACTTGAAGATGCTTTCTAAAAATTGTACTTACGTTTTGCCATGTAGTAGGAATGTATTGCAAGCCCTAAACAAGGGGTGGGGTGAAATAGGTAAAGCAAAAGGAAAACAAAGGTTCGTCAAACACAAATGTACAGTCCTATCACTGAACTCTTTTAATTCTACCTCTGTTTTTAAATTCAGGTATCTACACATTTATTTTTTTTTTTCCCCTCACACCTTTTTTGCATTGCTGCTGCTGCTTTTCTTGGTAGGGATTGTTTGCACGTAGGCGCCAGTTGCTGCTCACAGAAGGGCCCCACTTGTATTATGTGGATCCTGTCAACAAGGTTCTAAAAGGAGAAATTCCATGGTCTTTAGAGTTGCGGCCAGAAGCTAAGAATTTTAAGACCTTTTTTGTTCACACGGTAAGTGACTTTCTTTCATGTCTTTGAAAGTTGCACTGATTGTTGTAAGTTGTTAACCAGCAGCTTTTTCCTGAGAAAATAGAATTCCTTAAACACAAGTGTTGATAGTCTTAATTTATAACAAAAAAAAGGCACGGGCCCCATCCCCCCAAAGGCAAAACAAACCAAGCAAACAGCAACCACCCAATGTACCCATTTCCCGAAGAAATGCATGTTTTATTATTCGTGTGTAAATAGAATTTAAGTGGGTTTGGGGATTTGAAGGAGGTTTTAAAGAAATACTTAAAATTTAGCCCTTTTTTATACAGTGGTTCACAAGGAGTGTACCAACAACATATTGGCTGTTGACTTCTTAACATTATTGAGATGCCAGATGTATGGTTATTCAGTAATATGGAATATTATATAACTAATTGAATTAGTTCTGGGGAAGTTTATTAGTTGATTCTGAATGATTATTTCATTGATAGATGCAGAGTAATTACTGCTTTTTTTTGGTTAAACTGTATTTGGAGTACTCATTACAATGTTGTTCACTTGTAGCCAAACAGGACGTACTACCTGATGGACCCGAGTGGGAATGCTCATAAATGGTGCAAAAAGATACATGAAGTTTGGCGGCACAGATACCACCAGAATGCTGCTAAATAGTAAAGCTTATCCAAAACTTCCCAGTTTCCCTACTTGCTGCTAGAACTCCATGTGCAGCCGATCAGAGGAATATTTTCAACCCACCTATTACCATCTCAAGGGGAAGCATATGTCTGAAATGTTCTGCTTTCGGGTTTTGTTTTGGTTGGTTGGTTGTTGGTTTTGGGTTTGGTTGGTTTGTTTTTTTTTTTTTCTTGTGTGTGTGTGGTTTCTTTTTTTTTTTCTTTTTGGTTCTTGTTTGGTTTTTGGATTTTTTTTCTTTTGTTGTTGTTTTTGGGTTTTGTTTTTTTTTTTTTTTTTAAGAAAAAAGAAAAGCAAAAACCTAATGGAATTCAGGGTCACTTTGCTTGCTCATTGTGCTTCTGTTGAGGCTTCCACATGCATATCATTGCAGTGAAGATCTTGCTTTTGTGCACTTCAGCTCAACTTCTGCTGCAGACTAGTGGATAGACCTTGCATTCCAGCTTCACTTAAGATGAGTTAAAACCAATCCACACGCACACACGCCGAATCATGTACCAGCCTTGCGTTTTATGGGGCTGGAGTTGTCTGTGACTTTCAGATTATCATTAAAATGTATTTCATCAGGGAGCTTTTATATGCCTCTCCTAAGCACCACCTCTTTGTTTTCTCTTCCTTTCCTCACAGTCCCCCAGCTTATTGGTATATGGCATTTGTAGCCAGGTCAGTCACACCCTTGTGTAATTGCTAACATAGTTCTGGTTGCAGGATTTATGTGGTACTTCAGTAATTATGTGAATGAATCAGATGTATGTGCCTGGCAGACAGGCTCCAATGATACAGGTTTTAAGAGAGTAAAATGCTGAACATGGCACTGGGAGTTTTCTAAAATTGAAATATTGGCGTCTGAAGCATAGAAGATTTTAAAGGTTAAATTTAAATTTTAATATGAATCATGTGTTTAATCAAGGGAGAACAAACTTACCAGCATGCTTTCAACTAATGCTAACTGAAAGATTAACTAGTTAGTATTGGGGGGCAAGGGTTGCTATTGAAGTAGTAAATAGTTTTTCACCTTTTCAGGAGGTAAGGGCTAGACGCTTTCTTTCCATGGTGTGCATGTACTGTGCATTTTAGCGGGGCCACCCTATTTACCTGGGTAGAGAAGGATGTGTGAAAGCATTGTACAATTGATTACTTGACTTTTTTGGACTCATTGTGTAATGAGATGTACAAATAATACTATTTTTGGTCCTTGGCCAAGTATTTAGCAACTCTGAAAAAAATATAAGCAATTGAAATGTTAGATCCATATAATAATCTGGTTAAAAATTCAAAGGAAAATATTGATGCAAAGGGGAAAATATATGGTACTTAAGGCATATCTATAAAATTAAATTATTTTGCATATCAGTCCGCTTTATCCTCTTCAAATTAAGGTTTTTTTGTGGTCAGACATTTCTTGTAATGTTGCAAAGACATAACTTTCTATGTGCTGAAAACAACTTCCCTAATGGCATTTTCGGCATGCCTGTGTTCCTGAACCTTGCAAAGAGGAATGACCTAGGTTTGGACAAAGGCATTCCTTCCTTTTTTTAAAAGCAGTATAAACATCACACCTATTTATTCTTCTTCTACACATACTATCTCTTTGCATTTTGAGGTCTCTTACTATGGTGTTTTTCCTTCCACCAAAGAAAAAATGTTCCATTGCAATGTTGGAAAAACTCATGGGCTGCTGTTTTAGAGGCAGTATTTTAAAAGCAGTGGTTTATCAGGATTTCTCAGAGAACACATGAATGTTGGATATTTTGTTGTTGCATGGGGTAAAGGAGATTTATTATTTCTCTCTTAAACTGTTACGTGTTTGAACTTGATGACAGTTCAGCTTTTTCAATATCTTTCATTCTTTAAAGGAGGGAATGCATTTGCCTTTTCTTTTGGAGGAAACGCATTCTTGTAGTCTTCTGTTATCCCCCTATGTATGCAAATTTGACAAAAGTAAATCACTGGCCTGCAGTGCCTGGTATTAAGGGAGCTGAGGTGTCCTGTAAATGGCTGAGATGAGCAAGAATTATGTTCCATCTGCATCATCAGAAATTTCATCATACACAGGGTACACTCCTTGTGGCTAAAATACAGACAGCACAGCACTTCTGTCTGTGCCTACATTAATCCTATATGGACCATTCTAACCAAGATGACATGAATTGTAAGTTTGTTGCATTTGCTCTCTGGCTGGCAGGGTCCATTTTTATGTTGGGTCCACTGGAGGCTACCCTACTGCTCTTGGTTTAGTCTTTGGTGTAGAGATGTAAATGTATTCTCAACTTTATACAGGAGAATGTGGCAGTGCTGGAAATTCATGGTGGCACTGCTGTTTTGCTATGACAAAACCTGGCCTCACATAAAGTCTGGCAAAGTTGTTCTGCTAATAGTGAGCACCGTGGCTTCAGTAAGAGGTGGAGTAATCTCCACTGGTTTGTTCACTAGGTGGAAATCTAGGAATGCTAAAACATCTTTTCTGTCATATTTAGACTTGTAGTCATTTTGCCATAAAATAGTCACTCTGCTTTTTCACACCTTGAAAATCCTCTCTCAGTAGACTTCTGTCGTGCCCACCAAAAGCCTTCAGCCAAAGAAATCTTAATAGCAGTAAGCTGTCAAGAAGGTGTCTGGAAGGCTGATACCTGCATTCTAGTATTCCTTTTTTCTTTTGCTAATGCTGTCATTAGGAAATTATGAGCATCTCTTATAGGCATCCCTCCCCCTTAGAACTAAAGTGTTCTAAACCAAGTCTTCCTTAGCTGCTGCTTTTTTGGGAAGGTACTAGAACTTTTCTGAGAGAGGTTTTTGTCTTTCTTGGACTGTAAGTGAAATCTATGGTTTTGAAAGATGGCAGAAGAATAAAGAGGCAAGATAAAGAAATCATGTGGATTTAAGTATATTTCACCACTTTGTCCACTTAAAGGTGTGTTGGCAGGTGCTGCTTACCATGAAGGGCTGGTTCCTGTTTTAAATGCTCGTAGCTGAAGTGGGGTAGCTTCAGATCTTTGTCCTGAGGACCACTCCTGTGGTTCATGGGAGTTCATGGAATGAAATGTACAAGGAAGGTTCTTCAAGCTGCAGATGAGCCAGTTAATTTCTCTATTCTTTGTCCGAGATCTTTCAAAGCACAAAAAAGGTTGTTAGGCACTTAAAGACCCTTCTTGGACTCCTTAATGCGAACCTACGGAAAACCCAATCTAGTTGATTCCATCTTTTATGTTTGCAGCATTTGCCAATCATTTGCAAAGAATCTGGTCAGTAATATTGCAATTTTATTTTGTTTGGAATTTGAACTTCAGGAAGATGTTTATTGCGTCTGTTTTCTGTGGGGTGGAACTAAAGAAAGGGTGAAGTACTACTGCTAGAAAGGATTTTTGAATCTCTGTTATACTTGGTGTCCAGCCCAGTCACAGGAAGTTTAAAACTACTTTGATAAACTGGAGAGATGAGTTGATTACCACTGGCCTTGAAAGTCCAGTTTTGAGAAGGGTTTGTATTAAGGAAGACTCGCTTCAAATATGATATTGAGGCATTGTGAGCAGACTGATACTGCCTATTAAGATCTTGCTTGCTAAGCACTGGGATGATGAAGGCATCAGATTATCGGATAGTACTGTGCTCCACTTTTCACCTTCTGATGTGATTTAGTTGTGAAGTATCTGCTATATATAAGCCTACAAAAAAACTTCAACTGTAATGCATTTTCATAGTTCAAGATGCTTAATTTAATGTGCTTGATATCACTACATTCTGTGATGGGAACTTTGAAGAATCTTGAGGATTTCCCACTTGTACTTTTAATAGCTTCTTTTGAATGATTTAGGAAAGTCAGCACAATTACTTCATTTTCACTTTCTCCTAGTTAATTACATGAATAGGTGTGGTATTTATACCTGAAATTTTGCTGAATTACTCTAATATTTTATGCAAATACTAGTCAAATGGAAGTGATCTTGCAAAGCTTCATGACACAGATTGTCTGTCAGCTGATCAAGGGAGCTTACAGACAGGTAATTTTCTGATCCAAAATAGCATGCTTTCCAGTAAGCCTGGTCATTTAGCAAAGTTTCCTCTTTCTTAGAAGAAATATAACTTCTGTACAGCAAACTCGGAGAGGTTCTTAAGCACCTGTTGACCTGGTCTGTCTGTCAGCATGGCAGTGAATGTAGATTCACAGGTTGCTGTTTGGCAAAGCTTCCTATGACCATGTGCTAACACTGACTGGATGTGGCAAATTTCTAAATTGTGGCAGAACTTACAATTACTGTCTCTGACAAAGGAGGAAAAAAAAATAGGAACCGGGAACCATAACCAGTTTTGATAGTTGTATGCTAGCTGTTTTCAGGTTGGTGGCAGTCAGTTACGTGTGTGATATTCTCTACCTGGTTTGTAGCTGTAACTGTGATGTACAGATAAAAGAAAAAAAAATGGGGAGGGGGGAAAGCCAAAAATCCTACAAAAAAAAAACACACCCAAAACAACACCCCCCCCCCCCCCAAAGCCCAAGCACCCCCTCCAACCACCCCCCACCCCCCTCACCAGGCACCACAAAACAATCTCCCCTCCTCCAAGAACTCGTGAAAACAGAAGCAAATAATGCAATGATATAAGATAAACACTTTTGTATTTTTATTCTTATAAGGTTATTTGCTGGCTCTTGTTGGCCTCTAGTTCAGTCTGTGTTATTTAAATTCTAATATATGAATTATTTGGATTGAATTCATGTTCGGGGCCATGGTGTTGTATGTATTGATGTACAGCCTTGAATGTGAATAATTATTGTAAACTATATTTTACACCTTTTTCTGGCTTTATTATATAAATTTTCTATTGGTCGATGATTTAATCATATCTCATAATTTAATGACTGTTTATTCTCCTCTCGACAGATCTCTGTGCTGTAGATGTGTAGTTAGTGACTGGATGATGGATTTCACTTACGCTTGGTAGTCTGTAATAAAGGCATGTAGGGTCCTGGCGCGGCCTCGCCTCTTCCTTTCGCGGGCGGCTGGGGCGGGGAGGGAGGCCATACCTCCGGCCCAGTGGCGGCGTTCTCGTGTCGGGGCGTCTCGGGCGGCCCCGGCAGACGAGACCTCTGTGGCGCAGGCGCGGGCCGTGACGAGTTAAGGGGCGCTTCCGGGGGAGGTCCGCTCGGGGACCTGCGGTTGGGGCGGGCCCTTCCGGCGGCGGCGAGGATGGCGGCGGAGAACCACTGCGATTTCCCGGTTCCTGCCGTCGGCGGCCTCGGGCTGGGAGGCCCGGGCGGGCCCTGCCGCCGGTGCAGCTCAGCGCCGCCGCCCGGCGCGGTGCCGGGCAAGTGGGTGCGGCTGAACGTGGGGGGCACCTGCTTCCTGACCACTCGGCAGACGCTCTGCAGGGACCCCAAGTCCTTCCTCTTCCGCCTTTGCCAGGCCGACCCCGACCTGGACTCGGATAAGGTGAGCGCCTGGGAGCCGGGACCGCGTTCTCGCGGGCGCTGAGGCGGAGCGGCGGCAGCGCGGGCTCGGCAGCGGCGGGCTCCCTGGCCGGGGGCAGTTTGTGCAGGGCCGCGCTGCTGAACGAGCCCCTGCACTCGACGGGAGCTCAGCTCTGGGGGTGAGGGCGGGCGG